CGTTTGTACGGTTTTTTGGGGGTCTGAAATGGACTAATCTAATTCACAATATTCCTTATGGGAACAAATTCGTTCAGTAATGGCACCTGAACATATTTCTGGAATGAAATAATATCGTAAGGCGGGGGTCCACTGTATTTTGAACTTTGTGTGAAATTGGCCAAATTACCAATAACTGATCACTTTATTGGATAGTTGAAATAGATGACTGGGCAGTTTCTTTTGCTCAATCAATAAAATAAAAGTAAAACTAGCAAAACAGCTAAGAATTTGGTCAATTGGAATAATGTACGCAATTTGCCTAAAATAGGAGAAAAAGTGGGCAAAATCGCCAATGTGTAAATATCACTGACGCAGGAAAATTTGCAATAGCGTAATTTCATCAATTTTCCATCAAATTTCACACTTCTTGTTTTATTACCTTCAGAAAAATATTCTCTACCATTTCATAAGAAAAAATATATTTTTTTTTAATATTCTTGGACCACGTGGATAAGTACAACAGGATCCACAAGTCTATAAGGGAATGAATCTGGCAAGTTGAAAGGTAGAACCAGGAGCTAAGGCTTAACCCCTACAACTACATATAGGCGAGGAGAATGGAGTTAATGAAGATGATCAAAAGAAAGAGAAAGGTAACTCCAATTCCTTGGATCAAGAAGCCTTCGAGAGAATAAAGGCAGCAGCCATGAAGGGCAACATCAAGCGTGTATCAACTTACGTGGCTCGTGGTGATGGTGTGGCTCAGGCTCCTCAGCACTTGACCCAAAATCTGAAACTAGATATACAATGTAATATCCTTGAAACAAATACAACAAATAATTCAATTTAATACAGGCAGGCCCTGCTTTACAGTGTTTTGCTAATGCAGTGGTTTTCAATGACAGGTCAGCCATCACTAATCTGGCAATCAGTAATCCGGTTCCATCAGTAACCTGACATAAATTTCGGCTAGCATAATTTCTGGGGTCACCACACCAACCTGCTGCTACTGTTTGGTGGTGCTACTTGCTACGTAAGTCATTCCAGTTTCTTTTTCTCCATTTATTGTTATAACCTCTTCGCTTTTAATCCTAGCCATGGTTCCAATGAATAAAAGAAATGCTTTTCGTTGTGTAAAGCACATACAACATACACTGTCCACAAAAATAAGGTGGCTTTGAAGCCACTGTCAGTCGCCATGACCTTAGCTCACTCAGATAAGCTGTGACCGGTAAATTTGGGCTTACATATGAGAGAACAGGTCTGTGTGGTAAGTGTGAACTATATAAAAAAATCCTGCAGTATGCCCTGCATAATGAAAAAAAACTGTAACTTTGTAGTGTATTTTCGTATGGGTTTCATGGTTGTATTCTCATTTTTTTGGTCTCATTTGATAGAATGGAAGATATATTACAGAAACAGATATGATTTTGATTGGTTTCACAATGGAAAGTACCTCGAAACCGAGCTCAAAGTAGCTGAAATGTTTGATTTTTGCCAATATTCAAGAGTAAACAAATGACATCACCGTCCAATACATGTCCAACTGGCAGGTCTAATACACAATCACAAATGGTTTGACATTATTTATACAATTATTACAACTATGCAGTAATCTGCATAACAGTAAATTTTCTATTTTTTGTGTGAATAAAAATCCAATATGGAAATCAAGCGTAATATAAGAGGGGACTGGAGACATGATTGATAAACAGAGAAAATTTTATTTTAAAGCCAGGAGTGTCTGCATTGTTTAGTCTGGACCTTATTTTGAAATTGGCATCTCTTGAAATTTGTGTGAAATTGGACAAATTACCGATTTCTGACCACTTTATTGGGTAATTGAAATGAGTAAATGGGTGGTTTCTTATACTCAATCGACAGAATAGAATACTAGCAAAATAGCTATGAGTTTGGTAGACTGGAACAATGGAATGGGCCAAAAATAGGGCATGAAGTGGGTGAAATCACTGATGCATAAATAAAGCTGTTAGCTTAAGTGTATTCTAACCTAACCACTCTATAATCTGGCAAAATCACTAATCTGGCACGCTACAGTTCCCGATGATGCCAGATTAGCGATGGTCAACCTGTGTACCCATTAGTCATTTATTTCAGCTTCATACAATAAATATTATTCACCACTCACTATAAGCTAAAGACAAAAATAAATTAAGTAATGTGTGTACTGTACATGCATTTTTTAAATCTAATTCTATTGCTCACTTAATATATGATAGTGTAAACATGTTATCAGGCTTTTATATGCATTTGAAAGTGAAAAAAGGCAGTTTCATTTTACAGCAATTTTAGCTTTAGAGCAGTAGTCTGGAACCTAACCTGCTGTATAACCAGGGCCCTCCTCCTGTATACATTTGCTTTCTTAACCCTTTCACTGTCTATCATTGAGGCCAGGGTCCCTGACAAAGCTCTATGACATGAGCTGAGCTCACTCAGATAAACTGTGAGTGGTAAATTTTGAGAATGGATTTGTACAGTGAGCATGCACAGTACAAAAAAAATCCTGTCCAACATGGTGCACGATGAGAAAACAAAACTGTGATCGTGTGTATGATTTAAAATAGTGACCTTGAGGTAATTTCTCCAATGGTTTTATCGACTGTTTCTTGTTATCATTTGATAGAATGGAAGATCTACTACTGAAATAGATGATCTTCTTTGGTATCAGGAGTGGAAGTAGCTTGAAATCAAGTTCAAAATAGCCGAAATATTAAACTTTTGCCCAATAGTCCAGAGGACGGGTAAGGGCCCCCTACAATCCCCAGTCTCTTATATGGGTTTGTAACAGGTCTGATTTAATTATTGGGATACTGTAAACTATGACCAATGTTTTTTGGTTCTATTTTCTTATCCGAGAAATAGAGAAAATTTTTTGTTTTTCTGCAAATAAGAATTAGAAATGGAAGGCAACTGTAATATCGGAGAGGCCTGGGGGCATGACTAATGATTAGAAGAAATGTTTTAGTGCCAAGAATGTCTATTGTTTATGGACTCTATTTTTAAACTGGTATTTTTTTAATTATGTAAAATTGGCCTAGTTACTGATTTCTGTGCCCTTTATAGGGTAGTTAAAATAGAAGAACAGGCTGTTTCTTGTACTCAGGCAGTTAAGAATTTGGTTGAAAGGAATAATGAAACTGGCTTAAAAATATGACTCAAAGTGTGCAAAAATCACTGATGTGTACATAGCACTGAGACCGCTAACTTAGCACCTGCATAATTCCCTAAGTTTTCCATCAAATTCTGTACTTTTGGTGGCATTACCTTCAGAAAAATATTCTCTACCAATTAATTTTTTTTTTTTTTTTTTTTTTTAAAGTGGACACTGAGAGCAATATTAATTTCAGGAGTCTGGACAGTAAAGAGAGTTAATGAGGTGCTTGTTAATTCAAACACAGTTAATAGAATCCTTTCTTCATTCTTATCACTAATCAGAATGGGAATAATAAGAAACCAGTTAGTTGGACTTGAGTCCTGGAAAGTAGAATGCATGCACTCTAACACAGGGGTGAGGATGTTGAGTGAATATTAACTCCCTTAACCCTTTCAGGGTCCAAGGCCAAAATCTGAAGTGGTGCTCCAGTGTCCAAGAAATTAAAAAAAAAAAATTCTTACAGAATTAGAGTATATTTTTGTGAAGGCAATAAGACAAAAAAAAAAATTCTGATCAGTGCCGAGAAGTTCACCCAAAATGACTGGGTGGCGGCAACATCGACGATTTCCACATACACGCATTATTTTATTTAACGTTTTTTGTAGTTTTTTTCTTTTCGTTTCTAATTTTTTTCTTTTCCTACTAACATTTGGGGCCTGAGAGACCAATACTGTATATAATGTATATATATAAACTCACTGTATTGAACACAATAACCACACTAAAGTTATTATCATATTATTGTTTACCACTTTTGTTTATTACAATAAACATGCACAAATCTTGTATACAGTGGAACCTCAAAAATCGAACTTAATCCGTTCCAGGAGCTAGTTCTAAATTTGAAAAGTCTGAAATTCGAAGCAATATTTCCCATAAGAAATAATGGAAATACAATTAATCCGTTCAAGAAACCCAAAAATATTCACACAAAAAATACATTTTATAGAGATTAATTACAGTTTTACATACAACAAATACTATAGTTTTTAATTATGTATAGTAATACATATAAAATAACATTTTTACTTACCTTTATTGAAGATTGGTGATGGCATCTGGGAGAGAGGGAGTTGGGGTTAGTGTTTGGAAGGAGAATCCCCCTCCATGAGGACTTCAGGTAAACCCCTCTCTGGGGTTACTTCCCTTCTCTGTCTTTTAATGCCACTAGGACCAGCTTGAGAGTCACTGGACACCTGTCTCACAAAATAACTGTCCACAGTCTTCTGTTTCTGGCGCTTCTTTAACATTTCCCTAAAATGGGACATGGTTCTGTCACTGAACTTGTTGCAAAGATGGCTTGTTTCAGCTTGCTAAGGGTGGTACTTCTGCACAAACATTTGGACATCATTCCACTTGGCACAAATCTCCTTAATCTTTGAAGAAGCCACCTCATCCACTCCCTATATTAACACCTTTCGCAACATCAGCTTCCTTGATTTGTTCTTTCTTTGACAGGATAGAACCAATGGTCGACTTGTTTTTCCCATACATCCTGGCACGTTCAACAAGTCTCACACCACTCTCATACTTCTGTATTGTTTCCTTCTTCACATCTATGGTGTTTCTCACTTTCTTTACCACAGGGGTACCACTAGCAAGTTTCTTTGGGCCCATGGCAGCTTATTTCAGTCCCACAAGCACTAAACACAACGAAATAATCGTAAAATGCGTGAATGAGAGCGCAGGTTAGTGTTCACTCAAGCATAAACAAAGCTAGACTGCTCACGGCGCCTACACGGGCGGGAGACAGGTCCCATACCCGGCGGTCCGAAAATAGGGGCGCATTCGATAATAGGGACACAGCTTGTCCAAAAAAATGGTCCTATTTTCGAAACGTTCGGTATGTGATACTTTCAATTTTTGAGGTTCCACTGTAATACTAATGTTCTATCATATATTTACATATTTACAATCACTGGACATGGTTTTAGAACTGCTAGAGCTTGTGGAAGTCCTTGAAACAAGGCACCATGCACAGAGGTACCTTACATTCCTCGCACATAAACTGAGTGTCTTTGCGTCTTTTTTGCCATCATTTTGTTTGTGCACAGACAATGCATCTCTTCTGAGCAAATTTCTTCTGAGTTGAAGGAAGCTGTATTATGAAATGATCACCTTCCCTCCTCAAACGCTTGGGTATATTCTGAGGAATTCGAGGACCTTGTTGTATAGCAGGTGTTGTTACCTGGTACTTCATAATGAGTTGTCTGACAACAGACAAACAAAATTCACTATACGGTGGTCTGTTGCCAGTCTTTATTTGGTACATATTATATGCATTGAGCATTGAAATGTCCATGAGATGGAAGAAAAGTTTCATGTACCACTTGTAACTCTTACGAACACAATCAACAAAGCCAATCTGCATGTCACATTTGTCAACCAAGCACATGTTCTATGTATAATCAATCACTGTCACTGGTTTTTGAACATGTTCATTAGTCACTCGATCAACTTTGCCACTGTCTTGCATTTCGTTACAGTGAATGATTGTCAACAATGTGACATCTCGTTTGTCATGCCACTGTAATGCCATGATGTCACTGGCAGTAAACACCTGCACGTCATCACCACGAGCACCTGCGTTGAACCTGGGTATATGTTTACGATTAGAACAC